CGGCCCTGAAAAGTCCAACAAGATTCAACTAATAAAACTAACGCTAGATGATTTATTTATAAATAAAAAAGTTTTTTCAATAGCTGTTTTATGCTTCGCGTTTAAAAAGTTTGAAAAGTTTAACACATTTGAAACAATTTTTCTTAGTATACTAAGAAAAATTGTTTCAAATGTTTTAAATATCTTATAAAATCAAATAATTAAATCATTGAGTTTTTGTAGAAATTCAATTAGCTAAATAGAAATTAACTAAAAACGTTAAATTACTATGTGAGGAGGAAGCGGAACTGCTTCACAATAACGCTGATGATGTTTAGTTAGTGGGCTTTATAATTTAAATTAGTATTTAAAACAAAAAAAATAAACTTTAAGATTTAAACTTTAAGAACTTTAACTCGGAGATTTAAAATAATAGTTCGTTTGATAATCCCGCTACCCCCAACTCAGCGCTTGAGTAGTACTTCGGTACGCAAAAATGTTGGTCAATAACGGACGCTACTCTGGATTAGTCTTAATGACTATTTGTGGCTGTTCCTATGCTAAGCCAACAATATCTTCGGATAAAAGAACATTGTATAGAAAAATATAGCATAAAAACTCAAATAAATAAAAAAAAATAAAAAATAGTATATTCTTAAAACAATTTATGCTAGAAATCTCAACGAAATCATAACAAAACTCATATAATACAATTTTTAAAAATATTTCAACAGAATCACTCTAGAAATTTTGGTTAGTATTTTTTGAACCAATAGAATTAGTTATTTGTAGATTTGGTGGTTTTTTTATTTTTTCGCACAAAGAAAAATTTTTTTATTGATTTTTGATTCCATCGTTTTTAAATGATTTGGCTCCATTGATCAACAAAGATTTGGAAGAGGAAAACTTTGACCTGTGTTCAGAGGCTACCTGCAGTAAGAATTGCATTTGTTTTTCATTTCTGGCAATTCAACAGTTAAAATCCTGAATTAGTTTTACTCCTCTTCAGCTGTACCATTAACAACTTGTAGACTTTTTACAAATTTTACAGCCTGTTGAAACTCTTCATTTTTAGTCCGCTTGTCTGGATCAACAGTTGTCAAAAAAGTAGTTGGTTATGCCAAAAGAGTAATGAAATTCAAAATATTATCTGTCTTGATTTTTATTTATTTCTGTTGTTCATCCTCTCTAGCATTTTGCAGACCCAAAACCATTTTTACTTGTTTGCTGGTCTCATCATCAAAAAGCCAATGCTACCATTTCTTGACTTACATACCATAAATCAGGCTTGGACAGAATTAGCATGCAATTGAGTGCTATTTCTGACCACACAAATGATTTAATTTTTTGACAACTTGACCATGACTGTTTAGATGTTTAGATGATTTTTAAACCTTTTAGAGATGTGCTGAAAAAAGAAACGCTAACTCAACTTTAACTAGGAAGAAAATTCAAAAAAAAAAAAAAAAAAGAAAACAGTTCTTTATGAAAAAGAAAATATATAAGTACTAAAATAAAACTCAAAAAACATAAACTCAAGGCGAAAATTTCTATTTATTTTGTTTTTAATTGTGTTTAAAATAAATCACTTTTAAACTTATCTTTTAAAACGTTTTTATTAAAGTTGTGCAAAACGCTTTCACAAATTACTTATAACGATAGAGACAAAACAAAGCAATTAAATGATTTTTTTTTTAAATCAACAAAAAAAAAATCATTCCATTGCAACAGAAGATTTAATTTAACTATTTCATAATTTAAAGTAACTTAAAAAATTATCAAAATTTCAAAAGATTTTTAGAAAGACATGGAAAAATAGTTTCAAACGTTTAAATTTATCATAGAAAATACATGCCTTCATAAAAAAAATTAAATATCACATTATTTGTTATTTTAAGCAATTACTATAGTTAATTTTTTATTTTATTTAAAGCTTACATGTAAAATAAAAACTTAAAAAAGATCAATGATTAAAAGTTATTCATAACATAACAATTTTTTTTATATAGCATTTAAATTGTTAAAACATCAAAACCGTTGTGGTCAGTTTGTAAAAAAAAAAAAGTAATAAAAAAAATAATTCTATTAATAAATGCATTCACTATTACAATACATAAGTAGTTCTGTATGTGTGTGTGTGTGTTTGTGTATGTGTGTGTGTATAAATATTTATAAAATAGCAATATATCTCATAACAAACCCTAAGTGTTTTATATATAATAAATTAACATAAGATTCAAAAACTTTTAATAAAAATTTTTAGAGGATTATATCCCAAGACCCTTTAACATTTTTTTTAATCATAAAGAGTATATTCATAATATTATGATATAAAATTTTTAAAAAATCTTTAAAATATCATTTAAAAAATAAATCTTTTAAATTTTTTTAAAGTTTGCCTTAAACAAGCAAAATTAAATATATAAATAATGCTCATTTTATGAAAAACGTATTTAATAAAAAATTATAATCTATTATTATAAATATAAAACTTTAAAAAATGCACTTTTTTCAATATATTTATGTATAGATAATATGTATTCTGGTTATTTTAATATTAAATTTCAGAAAAAAAATAAAATGTTCTTAAAATTATTTTTATGGTTGGCCCCAGAGGTCAGAAAAATTTAAAAAAATTAAAATTTTAAATTTTTTTTAATTTTAAGTAGAAGAGGAGGGGGAAGGGGGGAGGGAGTTGCAGGGTTTTTTTGTGTGTGTGCATATAATGCATAATGATAGCATTAGTTGGTCTCACTATTTTAAATTCAGATTGTATAGTTTTTGACATTTTATAAGGATATTTTTTTTTTCCTGCCGTTTGTTTTGATTTATTGAAAAAAAAAATTAAAATAGTTATAATGTGATAGGAAACATTTGCAGTTATTAATATTCAAAAGAATTCAAAACAAAAGATGTTAAACTAAAAAAGTAATTTTGCTAGAAAGTGTTCAAAAATGTTGGTGAACCATAAGGTTTTGCAGAATGGGGTCTAATCTAAGGTAAGCAAAAATAATATTACCATTAGAAAAGTCTAAATACATTTGTAGCTTTTTAGGAAAAAATCTGATGTTTGTCTTCTTTTTATTTCAAAAGCCTTTTTAAAAATTTTTCCAGCTGTTTTTAAAACTCAGATGCCTCTGCTTCTGCAGAGTTTCAATCAAAGAACTAATACAAGCCTGGGAACCTTTTTTGTTATAAATTATACCTACTTAAGCCTGGGAACTTTTTATCTATGTTATGGCACAGCAAGTACACAGGAAAATGGCATTTCTTATTGAAAAATATTTTTGATAAAACAATAAATATATTTCTTGTTTTAAGAAATGTTTTAAACTACACCTAATGAATTTACAATTTCGCTGTGTATAGGCAAAATTATATCTAAATATTTAATTAATATTTAATATCAATATAGTTGTTTAAATATTTGCTGAATCATAATTTTAATTAAATAATGAAGAAGTCTGGAACTAAAACTAACTGAGGGATTGGTTTTGAATAAAATCAAGACTAAAACATCCTGGTAGAGTTCTAGTTAAAGATTTCAGTTCAGTTTTTAAATCTTCACACACATTTTGAATCAATCTCACACACACACACACACACACACACACACACACACACACACACACACACACACACACACACACACACTCATACACACACACACACACACACAGTTTTAGCAAAATATTTTTGTAAATAAAACTGAAGGGTCTAGGTCATTGATTCATGAGCTTCATTTTTTAATTTAAATACCTGTGGTATTTAAATAAAAAAGTTATTGATGTTTACTTTGTTGATTATAAAACTTTTTGGGCTTTATATTTAGTTGTAGTTTTGTATTTATTTATAGTGTTGTTTTTTTTTAAATCTACATTTACAAAACATTGATGCATTTAGAATGGTAATGATTATAATGTTGGCAACCCTTTAGCTAAAGATTTTCTAAATAAAATAGAAGATGGTACATTAGCAACAAGTAGTGATTATAATGCAAAAGAACCCATTGAACTTAACATGTTATTGTCATTTTGGAGGAATGGACGAAAAAGAATTATGTACGTTTTTGTCTTTTGCTATAGACAAAGTAACTTAAAATAAAAATTAACTTTAACAAATTTTTCCAATACTAGTTTTATATTAAAGTTAGAGTATTTAAGAATTATTTGTTTTATGTAATTTTTTTTTTTATGTCTGAGTAAGTTAAACTGTTTCTGTAATGTTAAAAAAAAAAAAAGTTAAAAAGAAATAAGAGAAAGAGAGGGAATTCAATTGGTGAGAAATTTTGAAATCCTATAATTTCTTCATTAATGCATTCCTTTCTTTACAATTAAAACCCTACCATTAAGCACTCCTTAAATTCCTACTTCTGACTGACTTTTATAAAATTAATTGACTTTTATAAAAATTCTGGTGAATTTTTATAAAAAAAAAGAGTTTTTCTTGGTTTGCATTTATTCTTTTGTTTTAATCAAAAAAAATTCAACCCAAACATTTTTTTTTTTATCATTCTCTTTAATATGAACACAACATTTATTGGAGATTTGGGAAGAATGAAAATACTTAAATTTAAAAATTGTCTTTACAATGTAAATACTTTTTTTAGATATTTTTGTTTACATCATTTTTTGTTTACATAGGTCACAGAAAACTGTATGGTTTGATGATGGACGGTAAATGTTTTTAATTTTTTGATGATGGATGGTGAATGTTTGAAATTTTTTGAACATTTTTTAAAATTCAACTGATTAGAAAAAAAAATTATTTATTGAAAATGTTCACTTTTAAAATGAATTCTCAGTAGTTATTTATTACTTTAATTTTTTATTTTATTACTTTAATTTTTTTGTCATTAGTGGAGTAATCCTTCCACAAGTAGTTACTGCTGGAACAGTAACAAGAAGATCTGTTGAAGCAACATGGTTGACTGCAAGTAACCCAATGGTATGACAAGAAAAGTCAGCCTTTCGAGATTTATGTTAAGGAATCAAGATTTAGAGAGCTTGTTTCAAACTCATTTGAAAACAAGTAGCCTTCTGAAACCATCAGCCTAACCTCCTCAGGCCCCATGAACATTTTAAAGGCTGCCTAAATCTAAATATTTGAAAGTTCAAATCTTTAATCATTTTGTTTTTGGAATATTGTTTTAAAGTTAAAATAATTCTGACAATTTTTTATAAAAAGTTTTTGTACAAAATTTGTGTGTTGAAATATAAATGTTTTATGTTTTAATTTTATTTTAGTTCAATAGAATTGGTTCTGAATTGAAATCTTTAATCAGAACTCCACCAGGATATGTTTTAGTTGGAGCAGATGTTGACAGTCAGGAACTTTGGATTGCTAGCATATTAGGCGATGCCATGTTTTCAAATATGCATGGTTTGTATTTGTTTGTGTGTGTGTATATATATGTATATATATATATATATATATATATATATATATATATATATATATATATATATATATATATATATATATATATATATATATATATATGTATATATATATATTGGATTTGTCGGGAAGCGGGTTCGATCGCACTCATTAATTGACCATGGAAATAATATTTAGTTGCGAAAAACCGGCCAGATTTTTAAGTCAATTTGAGAACATTTCAAAAACAAACAAAAAATTGCAATAAGATTAACTGGACCATTTGGTATTTTTTTAACTAAAAACTTTAAATTACTTTGTGAGGAGGAAGCAGAACTGCTTCACAATACCGCTGATGATGTTTAGTGAGTAGGCTTTATAAATTTAATTAGTATCATCTTATATTTGTTCTAAAATTGTTTAAAACTTTACTGTTTTGATAATATAAAATATAAACGTTAAAGTGCATAATTTGATTTGTAACCATCACTGTAAATCTAGAAAAAAAGAATTTCATAAAAATCTTTTAATCTTTGAACAGTTTTTTTTTAATAAAAGAAACTGTTAGAAAAAATAACAATAAAGCTAATAAAAAAGCTGCGGTGCTTTACATAAAACAATCGAAATAATTGCCTGGGTTACTCTATGGCTAACTTTGTTAATCTCAAAAATGCAACTATACATTTGGAGGTTTCTTTAAGAAATTGATTTACAGTGCACTTGTGTTTTTTGTTTTTTTAACAGATTGCATGAACCAAAATATAAAAATCTCCTTCTTTAGTCTCTATCTAAAATATGACATTTTTCTGGGCTGTGGTCATATAATTAATGTTTATGTTGAATGTATTCTTTCTTCATGGTTTTACACAATTAGAACTGGAACACTTGAAAGCCATTAAAATTACAAAAATTACATTACAAAAATAGTTACATAATGTTATAATTTATAAATAAATCATTAACTTAGGTAAGCACTGATCATTACCATGTTTTTGCATTCTAATATCAGTTATCACATGGTTATCAAAGATGTAAAGTTGGCAATAAGCTGGTGATGTCTTTATTTGGGGAATATGATGGAACAACACACATAAGTAATAAAATATTGGTAATAATTCAATGGGTAATAATAAACTACAAAGGCTGTATTTCTTATATTACTATACAATTTTTCTAATTCCATAATGAAGGAAATTTCATATGAAGATAGATTGCCTGATTTTTATTTAAGAAATTGCTTAAAATTATTTTTAAAAATGTGAAATTCAAAAATTCCGGAATTCATTTTCATAACATAGTTTCAAATTCAGAAAATTTCCCAGCAAATTATGAGATTAAAATTGATTTTTTCTTGCTCTCTATAACTTTTAAATTGTGTTTTTGTTTCTGTACATGTGGCTCACAAATGTTCAGAAAATATTAGTGTAAAAAATCAAGGAAGTGGCTTAGAGGAATAGAATGAGGAATACGTTGAAAATGAAATGTTGGCTTGATTGAAAAAACTTATAATGAAGCTGAGCATGTTAAGACTGAAGAATTTAGATTTAGTTTTCTTATCAAAACACTTGATTCGATTGTAGAGAAATTTTGTTTTTCAAGAACATCAAATGATATTCTTCAATTTTATGTGAAACAAAAATTTGGAAAACAATTGAAACTTATTATGGACACTAGAACTAGATAAAATAGTCTAAATGCTTGAAAGATTTAACAAACTAAACAGCTGTGTTAGAAAAGCATTAATTGACATTGCATCTGATATCATTATTTTAGATGCTGAAATTTTCTTAATTAAAAACATCACTTCTCCCAAGCTGTTGAAGCTTACAGTTAAGCTAACTGTTGAAACCCTTTGTCAAGAAGATGCAAATCTGCTTTCTGCTTATGCGGCATTTTTTTTTTTTTTGCTTGAGAATTTCAGATCGGATGAACTTTCATTAAAGTTAAAAAACAAATTATAAGACTGAATAAGCCGAAGGCACACAAATGTGTCTGGAACTCTTTAGAGAACGGCGTTCGTGGCAAAATATTAGAGTCCATCTACTCATTTTTTATTTTGATTCTGCCATCAAGCATAGAGTCTAAACTGTAGCTAACTGCAACTATACTATAACATTTACTATAGTTTGTAATAACAGTAAAAAAATATATGAAACAAACTTGTGTTCAATAAGTTTAAAAAATTTATAGTCAAAGTCTTGAACTATAGCAGTTAACAAAATTTACCTAGCAAAATTGTATATAAAATTAAATCAAACAAAACATAATGAATGTCAAATAAAAAATAACACAAATATTGGAACCTAATCACTGTCCCCTAATTAAAGTATTACTACTATTTTAACAATTAGTACTTTCTATTAATTAAATTTTTAATAAATTGATATTTATTTTGTCTGGGTATATATCTAATTTAAAAAAAGATGAAAAAAAACCTTGAAATTATGTTTGTACAAATTTTATCATGGGAACATTAACATGTTCTCGGTGAGTTGTTTATAACAAACCGCTTTTTTGACATGTAGCTTGTCCACAATATATGTCCACAAGGTCATTATTAGAAGATTATAAATACTCTGATTTTCTTATTGGTAACAAGAGATTGGTAACAAGAGATTGGTAACAAGAGATTGGTACAAGAGATTGGTAACAAGAGATACTTTACTTTAAGCAACTCACTTGTCACTGGTAATGATAACCGAACAGAGACACCTAATGGTGTAAAGCATTGTGACAAAACAAAATATGTGCAAAAATTTTTTGTTTGGTTTTAACTATTTCATTAAAAGTTATTATTAAAGTCCATGTTAAATCAAATGTGGAATGGTTATTAACCAAGAAGTGTACATCAATAAGTGTATAATCAAGCAGATGGTCCCTTTCAGGAACATTACAGTAATGGTAAATGTGTTTTAGTTTGATTTTGCATCATCACAATATGCTAAATAATCACAGATTGGCTGTAAATACAAAAGATGCAACTGATATTGAAAGAAATGAATCTAGCAAACATGCTAGTTATCTGTCCTAATAAAACTGTTTCATGAATTCTTAAACAAAAAGTGTGTGTGGATAGCTGTACTGCTTATATCTATTAACTAACAACTAGGATCAGGTAAAGAATCTCTGAGATAAATGTCGACATTGCGCTAAAGTTACCTTTGACAACACAAAAAACTTGACCAAATACAGAATTTACAGAATGAAATTTAAAAAAAAAAAAAGTCTGAATAAATATTTTTTTTATAAAGTTGAAATTAAAGAACCAGTTGTGGCAATTTTTATTTGACAAATGTTGTTAAATGCTAAAATAATATATAGATAACACAATATATTAAATTTAACAGTTGTGCTTTATAAATATTGTATTGAAAGTTTTTTTTATTTTTATATAAAATTTGTTTTATATGCAATTGAAAAAGTTTTTATGCAAGGGTTCTTTTCCTTTTGTAACCTTACAAACACAGGCATAGGTAAGAAATAAAAACTTGTTGTTCCAAGACAAAGCTTGTATTTATCAGATAACTTATTATTTTCTGAAATATTTTGAAATTGGCATGAACTAAAATAAGATTTTGTTTATCGATAAGACAGTAAAACTTGTGTAAATATATTAGGTAGCACTGCATTGAGTTGGATGACTTTGCAAGGTAAAAAATCTGATCGTACTGACTTGCACAGTAAAACTGCAGATACAATTGGTATGAGTAGAGACCAAGCAAAGGTAGTCATTATTTCTACAACTAATAAGTATTGTGATGTTTTCGAAGAACATGAAATAATTTGATATTTTCAATTAGGTATTTAATTATGGACGTATTTATGGAGCTGGAGAAAAGTTTGCAGTTCGCTTACTCATGCAGTTTAATCACAACATTTCACTTGCACAAGCAGAAGAGAAAGCTGCAAAGTTATATGCTACCACAAAGGGAATAAAAAGGTTTTCAAGTTAAATTTTAGATTTTTCATTATGAAAATGTGGCCATTTGTGATTCAAGTCTAGCTAATGTTTATCTAGCTAATAAAAGAATATTTCTTTCTATTAAAGTTATTTGCTTACTGAAGAAGGACTTCGCTTATCTGAATCATATGGCATTCCTACTTCTCAAGGTACAATAAGTTATATAAACTTAAAAGAGCTTCTTTACCTTACAAAAACATCTTGGGAAAACAAAGAGCTTCTTGTGCATAAAACATGGTTTGGTGGAAGGTAGGTGGTTGATAAAGTAGCTATGAGATAGATGATAAGAATTTTCAAACTTCCTTGGACAAAATCTCTTTTAGCAAATTTTCCAATAAAGTGTTCTTTATTAAAAAATGCCCAAATACGGAATTCTTGTTATAAAAGAAAAGTTATGGTTAGTTATATCAAAAACTGCTAAAAACAGTTACTGCTACAACTGAAAAAATTACAACAACTAGTACTGCTACTACAACTACAAAAGCAAACACCTTAAGTTTGTTAATACTGACTTCTCATTATATATACTGACTTCAAGTCATTCATGTTGCATTTCTGATATGAGTTTGAAATTTACATAAGAGTATGAGGTGTAAGGGTTTCTTTCATTCTTTTAAATACTAAAAAAATTTAACCAGATTTCTAAGCAAAATAAACAAAAATAACTGTTTTTGATATGAGTGTGAAGTTTATTTAAGAGTATGAAACATAAGGGTGTTTTTCTTTCTTTTAAATACTAAAAAATTTTAATATTATAAGCTTTAAGCTGAATAAACAAAAAAAAACTATTTTTGATATGAGTTTGAAACTTATATAAGAGTATGAGGCGTTGCGGTATCTTTCATTCTGTGAAATACCAAGAAAAAACTTTTTTGCTTGTTTAATTATTATTATTTTTTAACTATTATTTATTTTTGTGTTACATTAATTTATTGTACTGTTATATATTTTTTGTTTCATAACTGTATTATGCAACTTAAGCTTACAAAAATGAGTTTGTGGGATGATGGTAGAATAAGAGTAGATTTGCTATGTAATGGTTAAACCATAAAATCTCTTATAGGTAAATGATATTAGATAGTATATTGACATAAGATTGTATACCATTTTAGCGAATCAGACATGTTTAACAAATTAGAAAGTATTGCAGTGTCTGAGGAACCAAGAACACCAGTTTTAAATTGTATGATCACAAAAGCTCTTCTTCCCAAATATGTTCAAAATCATGTAAGTATACTTGTTATTGTTTGTATATTTGTTTTTAAATAAAATTTATTTTTTAAAGTTGAACTTTGAAAAAAAAAAAAAAATCTGTGATTCTTGTTGCACTCGTAGGCTTATGTATGCGGATGTCATGCAAATTAATTTTAATAAAATTAATATAAATTAATAAAATTAATTTATATTAGGAATTAATAATGTATTACCATCATCATCGTCGTCATCATCATCATCATCATCATCATCATCATCATCATCATCATCATCATCATTATTTTTGCTATCTTAATCATCAATTTCGAAAGTTTGTATTTAAATTTAACTTTTTAATCAAAAAGACTTTTTCTCTAGCAATCACAGATAGGTTTATCCATGAACCTATCACCTGTTATTATGGATAGCAATATCTTATTGATATGTTATTATGGATAGCATTATCTATATCATTAGTATATTATTATGTTATTATGTTAACATGTTATTATGGATAGCATTATCTATATCATTTGTTATTACAGTTAAAAAATTAACAATTAAACAAGAGGTTTGAAATCTATTAATTTTCAGAGAGCAAGTTGTTAAATTTAAGATGAAATAATAAGTTTGTTAATTAAAGATTTAAAAACCTTAATAAAAATAAGACAGATGACAGAATAGACCATCATTAGATGGATCAGCACAATTTATGGTTCCTATTTTTGAAAACTCAAGTTTTTAAGTATAAGAATGACAGATACCATTTTCCGGCAGACAGTATAACAAGATTCAGTTAAACATTTATTAAATAGTTTCCAAAATATTGAAGAGATTTCTGGACAACACTTTTGTGGAGCTGTGGACAACACTTTTGTAAAGCTGTTTTGTAAGGCATTGTTCCCAGAATGACCATGACCAGACCAGAAAGGTTCCCAGAAAGGTTCTTTTAAAGAAAAAGTTAAAAGAAATGAAGTAGACAAGAACATAAATAATAAAGTAAATGGTTTGGTTGGTCTGAAAAATAAATCAAGTCAACTGGGTAAAATATTGAGCAAGTCAAAAGTTGTTTTAAAACTGGCTGAATCATTGGTACTGTTAATGGCCAAGGATATATTGCATGTACATTTAAATCACCAATAACAGCTATTTTAGCTGATAAATAAAGAGTGCTTGGTCAATTTTATTAGAAATAACATTGAAAAAGTGCAGTCTCGATAAAAGAGAAAAACTATAAAGAACACAGAGAGGCAAATGAGTGAAGAGGTGTTAAATGAAAGCAATAGATGCAGTTTACATTTGTCTGAGATGAGTATTTTATTGAGATACTGTTACTCGACCAAGATCACCAAAACAGGTGGTCATTTAAATCTGAATTAATAATGCACAGCCTTCTTCTAAAAAAGGAAGTCCCACAGGGCAGCAGCATTGGGATCATGGTGATTCTGATCTTGACCTGGCTTGAAACATTAGGAACTATATAAAATATTAGAATCAGCTCAAAGTATTAGCAACCGACAATGCAGTAGTAGTATAGTGCAGTAATAAAATTTTAACACACAATTTTTTTTTTTTAACTAACAGTTTGTTATTAAATTCTATGTTACATCATTATTAAAAATAAAAAAATTCTGAATTTTTATTTAGCACAGAATAAATGAATAAAAATACAATTATTAAAAATATAAATGCAACTGTTATTTTATTTATATTATATTTATATACTAAATATAAATAAAATATAAGAAAAAAAAAATATTGAAACCATCTCTATTTTGATTGTTCATTTCTAAATAATTACCTACATTTTTTTTTTCTCATTTCTAAAATTGAATTCCTGTTGTCTTGCTTGTGTCGAAAATATGATCATTATAATTATGATAAATAATGATAAATATGATAATTATGATATATTTCCAATTAAGATGAAGCTTTTTTAGAAAAGGAAAAAGAAATGAAGTTGATTATTGCTTGATAAGTAACTGCATTGTAATTTTTCAGTTGTTTAAGAGTTGGCACACATGATACAACAATCTGTTAATTTTTTATTCTTTAAAATGAGTTTTTTAGTAAAAAAACTTTATAAAATGATTTTTTCATAAAAAAGATGTCTGAATAGTTCTGTGGTTAAGTGCACTATCTTAAAAGCTGAAATTCAATTCTTTCTGAGGGTTCAACTTCAATGGCTAGCAAAAAATTTTAAAAAGTCTTTTTATTCTGGCTGCTTTTTAATATACAATACATAACAGTTAAAGCAAAAAAAAAAACTTATAGTTGTGAAAAAGTTAAACTTTTGAGAATTTTGTCTCTGTCCTTATATTGTCACTTCATTTTAGAAAAAAAAATTTAATAAATTACTTTTTATTGTATTTTATTCTTTATTTTTACTTAATATGAAGTGGTTGAAGAAGAATTACTGAAACTATTTGATGAACATCTGATAAATACTGATAAAATGGTATACTAAATAGAAGAATGAAAAAAAAAAATTAGATATTACTTAAAAACAAGTTAATAAATTATTTTAGTGTTTAAAATGAAAAAGCTTATTTGTTACAATGACAAAACAGCGAATTTTTTAAATTTCCCCCCATAACAACCAGTCAACCTAGTTTATGAAACCAAATACAAATATGTATTTGACCTCAGTCCTAGTATATACAGTGTATATTTTTTATCTACCTGTTGATAAAAAAATATCTAACAAATACAAAATATGTATTTGTTAACACTTTAAAAAAAATTAAGTTAATGCAATTAATTGTTGTTATTTTTTTGAAGCACTATTAGATGCTATTAGAGTTTCAGTTCTGTGCAGCTATCAATACAAGACTGTCTCCTGCATTTGAGGATAAAAACTTTGCTATGCATATAATCACATTCAATATCTGGCTATTGTCTTGCCAATCCAGCAAAGAGATATTTCTTTCTACTAAAAAAGTTTTATCAGACCATGGTGTGTCGCAGGGAGCTTGCATAAAAATTAATTGTTCCCATGGAAACTATTCTCTAAACTTCAAATCAACTTGTTTTTGAAGACCTTTTTGTATTGATTTTACTGGGCAATAACATCCAGTGCCCTCTCTCTTGATGTCGCCACTTTTGAAGGGTACTTAGCGGTTTGCTTTTTATTGAAAAAGTAGTTTAATGTTGGCAATTAATAACTGACCTTAAATTTATAGTTGGGATCAGGTTGTCTCAAAATTTAAACACAAAAGTTTCACCATAGCACAATATATATATAACTTTAAAGAGATGTTTAAAATGTTGCTTTCTCCATTTTTTGTTGAGCCTTATAATCTTATCTCAAATAATCCAGCTTTTTATCAAGAAGTCTTCTTAAAGACTCGCTCTACACCAAATATTTACTGTTTCTTTGACAAGGCAATATATATATATATATATATATATATATATATATATATATATATATATATATATATATATATATATATATATATATATATATATATATATATATATATATATATATATATATATATAATATATATATATAATATATATATGTATATATATGTGTATACATATATATGTACATATATATATATATATATATATACATATATATATACATATATATACATATATATATATATATATATATACATATATATACATATATATACATATATATACATACATGTATATATATACATATATACATACATATATATATATATATATATATATATATATATATATATATATATATATATATATATATATATATTATATATATATATATATATATATATATATATATATATATATATATAAAACAACAACAACAACAACAACAACAAGATATTTATTCTCCTTTTCAAATCACACAGTAATATTATAATAATAATAAATATAATAATAATAATTTGGAAAAAAAAATCATAATTCTTTTGATTATAGTAAGTAAAAATAATTGAATAATAAATATATATATATATATATATATATATATATATATATATATATATATATATATATATATATATATATATATATATATATATATATATATATATATATACAGTCGACTCTCGATATCTCGAATACTTGATATCTCGAACTTTTGAGTATCTCGAATTTTTTTAGCGGTCCCATGAACATAACGTACTAGTTAAGGCTAAAATCCTCTCGATATCTTGAGCCTTAATATCTCAAACTTTTTGGTATCTCAAACAATATTTTTGGTCCACAGGGCAATTTTCTCTCGTTATCTCAAACTTTTCAACATTTTTTTTTTCCAAAATGTTTTAATAAAATTTAATTTTTTTTAAATTCCAATTTTCAAAAAAAAAAAATTTTTAATTCAATTTTTTAAGAATCGAATTTCTGAAAAATTTTCCTTTAATATATTAATTTATTCTTTTTGTCAAACGCAACAACATGCCGCTCGTTAAATGAAAACTCACGAACAAATCTATAATAGAAAAATGCAAGGCATTAAAAGACCTAGAGACAGGGATGTCTAACAAAGAGGTTGCCAAAAAGTATGGAGTCCCAAAGAACAAATTGTCAACCTCGATTAAAAATAAAACCAAGTTATTAATCTCACTTGATGGTACCATACTAAAAGAAAAGGCACTAAAATTCGCAGAAGCATTAGGAGAGTTGGATTTTAAAGCATCTGATTGTTGATTTCATAATTGGAAAGACTTTATCAATTAGGCCTGGTATAGGCTGAGATAAACTCCATACAAGCTCAAAAAAAAAAAAAATAGTTAAGGCAATACTAGATCCTAGAGCATAGTTTTTATAAATTTTCTACATGCCAAACACATGCCAAATTTTCAATAGAACAACATTCTGGCAAGTTTGCAGGGTTATCCGCTTTCTTAACAAAGTTTATGTTTTTCTTGTTCAGGTACATGGTTACTGTTTTTGCATAGGTCAAGCAAAAACTTGAGCCTTTTAATGTTTGTCTTGATCATTTTTTAGTCTTTTCTCCACTACCTTGAACTCTTTGGTAACCAGATTCACTTTCAGCATGTGAAGTTATCTTGTAGGTAATAAAATGTGTATTTCAATTCCTATGAGTTTAGACTATTTTACCAGTGCCTACCAAACAAAACATACCATTTATCACGATAAAAATGTTTTCGGGGAAAAAATAGTAAAGTCAGACTAACAGGCATAGCAGCAGGGAGTGCAACGGGAGAAAAATTACCTATGTTTGTTATTGGAAAATCTAAAAACCCACGGTGTTTTAAACACATTAAACAACTTCCTTGCACATATGAAAATCAGCTGAAAAGTTGGATGACCGGAGACCTTTTTACAGAATGGGTAATGAAACTTGACTCATTTTTTCGTGCTCAAGACAGGAAAGTAGCACCCCTGGTGGATAACTGTTCTGCCCACCCACACATTAAAGGGCTAAGCAACATCAACCTAATATTTTTCCCCCCTAACACCACATCTGTCCTTCAGCCCATTGATCAAGGCGTAGTACAAAGTCTTAAAGCTCATTACTGTCACAAAATTGTGCGTTTGTGTATCAAGGCTGTCAATAATAACGAACCAATGCCAAAAATTTCTATACTTTAAGCAATGAAAGATCTTGTTTCTTCGTGGAATGTTGTGTCAAAGGAGACTGTCATCAACTGCTTTAAAAAAGCTGGTATCAGCAAAACAAACAAGAGTATTGAAGAAGCTGATGATGATCATCCTTTTAAACTTTTGACAGAAGAACTTAACCGTTTGCGAGAGTTAGATCCTCGTGCTGCCCAAGAAGATCTCTCAGTGGAATCTTACATTGGTTTAGATTGCGATGTAGTAACCACCGGTTCACTTGCTACTGATGCTGAAATCATTGCTCAGATTTTAGACCCTAATTTTGAAAACGACGATAATGAAGTTGAAGATAGCGTTGACGAAGCTATTGACGTCAAAGCCCCGCCATGCCCATCTGATATTCAATTAGAAATTGCTTTTAAAACAATTCAAAATGCTTCACTATACAGCTCAAAATACGGAAATGAAATACAATCCCTAGCGCTAAAACTTGTGGATTTAATGAATATGGAAAAGATGGATAATTTAAAGCAATATCAGATAACAGATTTTTTCTAAAAGTTGTAGTTTTTGTTGTTAATGATTTTTGTCAGAAAAATAACTTGTTTTAATGAAAGTCAGGCAATTTTATTTATTTTCAACCCTTTTCTTGATATCTTGAACTTTTTTTCTGGTCCCCTTAGTGTTCGAGATATCAAGAGTCGACTGTATATATATATATATATATATATATATATATATATATATATATATATATATATATATATATATATGCACATATGTGTTTAAACAATTTTAAAAATGTATTCTACAAAATATATACATATATATATATATATATATATATATATATATATATATATATATATATATATATATATATATATTTATATATACACACACACACAAAAGTATTAATAATAAAAATAACAGTAATAATATTATTATTATTAGAATAAAAGTAAAATATTTTAATTATAAAAATATAAGATAACAAAATTAATAGAAATTACAGTTATAATATTAATAAGTATTTTTACAATAATAACAATGAATCAAAAAATGATATTTATAAATAATATAATTATAGTTATAAGCATAATAATATTTATAATAATAAATTAATGGTTCATTAGCATGGTGTCACTCATACAGAAGTCTGATCAAAGGAGTGACACCAATATTATATGCAAGAAATTTATAAAATTTACTCATTTACTTTTTTTTTTAATTCTCTATTCTTTATTTTGTTAGATTATCGTCTAATAATTAAATAGAATTATTAATATATAAAAATATACAGTATGAATCTTTATACAGTACATGACCAGCAGAGTTAACTGGGTTGTACAATCATCTGCTGTTGACTATCTTCATTTGGTATTGACTTGTATGAAATGGTTAATTGAGAAATATGATATAGATGCAAGATTTTGTATATCGATTCATGATGAGGTTAGATTAACTTTGAATTTTTTTTCAAAACATCTTTTTCGTAAGTTGTGGTTAAAAGTATTTCACTTATAATTTCACTTATTATTTGATAAATTAAATAAAAGTGTGATTATACAAAATTATATAATTAATAAATTATTTCTATAAAGAACCATTTTGTTAAAAAAGGTTTTTTTAAACTAGGTTCCAAACCTGGAACCTAGTTCGCCAATCTTTATATCCTTGTTATCTTTTTAAAAACAACATCAACAATACAAGATATTTATTTTCCTAGTTAAATAGTTTAATAATAGTTTTCTGAGATTCTGAGTTCATTAAGCTTTCGATTGTAAATTATTTTACAATGTTTTGTTTAAAAAACAAGAAAAACTAAAAAATGAGATTGAATTTTAAGACACATATAAGGTAAAAGACACAAATAAGGTATAAGATAAAACAAAAAGGAAAAATGTTTTAAAAAGTTTTTTTATTCTATTTTTTATCTATATAATCAGATTTTTTCAATTAAACCATGCCTTCTGACTTTATCAATTAGGCCTGGTATAGGCTGAGATAAACTCCATATAAGCTCAAAAAAAAAAAATAGTTAAGGCAATACTAGATCCTAGAGCATAGTTTTTATAAATTTTCTACATGCCAAACACATGCCAAATTTTCAATAGAACAACATTCTGGCAAGTTTGCAGGGTTATCCGCTTTCTTAACAAAGTTTATGTTTTTCTTGTTCAGGTACATGGTTACTGTTTTTGCATAGGTCAAGCAAAAACTTGAGCCTTTTAATGTTTGTCTTGATCATTTTTTAGTCTTTTCTCCACTACCTTGAACTCTTTGGTAACCAGATTCACTTTCAGCATGTGAAGTTATCTTGTAGGTAATAAAATGTGTATTTTTAAGTATATTCTCAGTTTTAAAGTGGTCATAAGTGAACTTTTACCAACATTTCTGCTATTTAAATAAAATTCATCCACATGTTTTCTAATCTCTTCTTGTCTTGAATTAATTTTTTTATTCATATTTCTATAAAAAATTAAAACAAAATATTTAAAAACTAGAATATAAATATTTTTTAAAATTATTTTCCTTTTTGTTATATTTTATACCTAAAGAAATTAATGTATCATTAAATCCAGTCTTGTTTTTCAGTTGTCACCCGTTATTTATAGTAAGGTATCTGTAAAAAGTTTGTAATCAAAAAAGGTAAATTTTTATTTAGACAGTCAAAAACAAAAAGTACAGGTAAAAATTCCTTTAGATAGTTTTTAAATATAAATATACAAATTTTTGCATTTTTTTAAAACTATTCGTGTTGGGACTAAGGAGCTATGATTATTTTCTTCACTAGACTAATATACACATCTAATATAATTATATATATTTTTGGCTTATAGCTTTTTATTATTTCTTCATATTTAATATTTATATAGTTATCTTTTCTAATCTATATTGCGTGATGCTTTTAGTATCATTATCGCGTATCACTTATGCAATTTTTATCATTATTAACCATTACAAGCTTTCTTAACCATCGCACAGAACTCAGTCTAAGTTGCCACGGTTTGGTACACTGGTTCTAGGTGTGTATTAGAGTGGTTTCCCTTTGAGTCTTAGGTCAGAGGTTTACTCATGCAAAGGTGTTTTAATCGTTGTGGATTCCCTAAGGTATGACTACATTGTTAAACTACTCTTTACACTGGTCCCTTACAGGACTGACCCCAGTCCAGGGTATTCTCTGGTGAAGTCTTATGTCAGAGATTCTCCATGTATAGGTGTCTAATCCATCGTGACTCTTTGATTTATGACTGGCACTTATAACTGGCCTCTGATTAGTCTAGACTTGACATAACACAACAATAGCTTACACATCTTAATTGTTGTATTAAGAATCAGTTAATATAATGGATTAGATTATCCGCCTTTCATTTCACATTATAAGGAATTCTTACATTAAGGTTAGTTTATCGCGTCTTACATTACATACAAGACAGACTTACAGATACCATTTTATCAGTTTGCTATAAACTACCATACTTGGCATGCTTATTGTTTTTTGCTCCTACTAACTACTGGATTTGTTTTGGCTCTTCAATGATTTCCGATTATTATATTTTCATTACTCATTATCATCATTTTAATTTGAACCTTTAATTTTAACTCATATCTAGACTTGTTAATGACTTTCTTATGTATTTTCTACTATCTGTTACTTTTTGTGTCCTAGGACAACAATGCATATAGAGGTATAGAGTTTTATGCATGGAATTCATTCAACTATTAAATTTATTTTTAATAAATCTAAAATTTGTTCATTTAATTTTTTGGACTTGTCACTATATAAGGACAGATATGGACGTATCCAAAGTACTTTATACAGAAAGCCAACAGATTCAATGAGCCTTTTACATCACCAATCCAATCATCCATACCATCTAAAAAAAAGCCAAGCTTTAATAGAAAGCGTTACGCTTCAATAGAAATAAATCAGAAAAGGAAAATCTTTGTAAAGAATTGCGTAATTGAATTTGCTTTATGGCGAATCTTTGTGTTAAGAGGTTATGCAGTGATATCTTTCACTGCTAATTTACAATATACTAGAGCTTTGCAATTTAGTCAAAATCAACTTATTAATGAGCCCTCTACAAATATAGATGTAGATATATTACTGATTGTGACTCCTTATTGTGATATTGTGAGAGATATCAATAACATTGTTGTGAAGCATTTATTAGAGATGACCCTAAAAATTATTGGTGTTGCCTAAATTTGGAAGAGGTGTGGATGATTGGCTTTTCTGTAGTGAGGTTTTATTGCAATAATGACTGATATGATGTAGGCTACAAGCGATGATAAAGATAGCAAGTGTGCATTTCTGACAAGCAATGCTAGCCATTTTTTATCAGGCTCTCCAAAACGTCATTGGCGAATATATTTTGGCCCTGAGGATGGAGTTTCACCTACATTAGTCTACTATTTAATTTTAATTGAATTTCACAACACTGTGATTTTTATTATTTTTTCTACTTTACCTTTTTGGTTTTATATGTATATATAGAATGATATGTTTTCTAAATTTTTTTATATTTAATTATTATACAGGTAGATGCACCCCAAAAACCAAGGCACCTCAAAAACAACGCGGTCATTTAAAAGGCTCTAAAAATTTAAATATGCATTTTAAAACCATATGAGAAATTTTTTCTCATAAAAGAATGTTTCAGCAACAATTAAAACAAAAGAAATCAATATTAACAATAAAGGAGTTTTTTTTACAACCGTTTTAAACTTAAAAAGTGCTGAGAAAAATAATTGAGTTTTAAGTAATATTGCTATAAAATATTGGTTTTTTAGACTAAGTTTGCAAATCCCATCTAGTTTGCTTATCTTTTATATGCTATTTACATAAATCAAACCATTTTTATTATAAGTAAAAGGGAAACTTGTAAAAAGAAGTTTAAAAATTACATTTTAACATGTGGTTTTTGGGGTGCGCTAAGAAAAAGTTGAAAAAAAAAAGTTTATCCATAACAAGTCTTTACAACAAATTTAAAACAAATAGTTCATTCAATAAAAAAGATTTTGAATATCACAGTTATTTCTTTCTAGCAGCTGCAGATAAAATCATTTCTGGGTTTTTTCCATTTACTTTGCAGTTTGCTTTGCTGCAAATGGACCGCATTATATTGAGGCAGGTTGGACACTGCTTTAAGCCAAAAGCTTTACATTTTATCTCCTCGCAATAGCATTGATGCTTACATGTTATAAAGAGTCTTGTAACTTCCTCTTTCTTTTTTGCAGCATTTTCTTTTTTTTCCTTTTCTTTTTCTTTTTTTCTTTTTATGCTTTCAACTAGAGTTATTACATCGCTTGCAGTCATTGATCCATGTACTTGGGTAACACGTGTTGCATCTTTTGTTAATTTTGGCTTTATCTTTTTGGTTGTCATAAAACCAGGTATTTCTTCCAGCTGAATGCTCTTTTCATGAAGTTCATCAATCAACTCCATCGCTTGTTCAAATTTTGATTTCCAATAATTTGCTGAACCACGTCTTTTATCCGCGAAGAAATTAGTGGAGAAGTCTGTTTTTCTGGTTCAATACAGTTTTCTGCTCGTTCGAATTTGTCTTTTTGCATAAAATCAACACTCAATGCATTTTCGGCAACACCAACCCTTTTAGCAGATTTAACAAGCGTTTCTTTGGTTGTCCACTTGTCCCATATATTAGCTAAAACTAACATAAAAGCTTCTTTGTTTAAGGAACAGATATCAGAAAACATAGAGTCTTTTTGCTTACGATACTCACTATGAATGTTCTTGTTTACTTGGTCAAGAAGTTGAGTAACTCCTGTTGTGTCTGGTGGAGTAAGAAAAAGATGAATTCTTTTGGACTCCAAAAAAGATAATACATCAAAGTCTAGTCTAGAGCTATGTCCATCTGATAATAAGACGATGGGTCGCTTAACATTTTTTTCATTTAAGTAGACATCAAACTCTTTCAATGCTGCCAAGAAAGATTCATGGGTTGATACTCCATTATCTGTAGTTGTGACCAAAAAATGGGGAATTTTATTTACTGCTTCTGTTGGAACCATAGAACTAGTAATACTAGTACATTTAAATATTACCTGACACATACATATGTCGCCTAAAAATAAAAAATAAAAAAGTTTTTTAATGCTTGTATTTATTTATATTCAATTTTTTCTTAAACCATAACATATTATAGCATACCTGAAAATGAAACAAATGGTTGAATTGTGACACATTCTCTGTTTTCTCTATACATTCTTTGACATGCATCTCCTTTGCCAGCATAAAATAATCCAGAAGTGGTACCATCAATTCCATAATTAATAAACTGGGGTGTTTCATCACAATTAAATATTCGGCATGTATCAACAGTGCCATTCCAAACCCCTGTTTCAATCATTTTTTCATTTATCATAATACCAACATCTACTAGTTCTTTAGCAAGGGAATCTGAAATAATGTTATTATAGGGAAA